ACATATGTGTGTTAACTTGCAGATCATGGCAGATCTACAGACGTGTAGCTTACCCAGTGGACAAAATGGCTGCTTGTGTTTCACACAGACCATTTTGTAAGGCGCTAGCTCTTCGATCTATGGTTTCATGGTAACATCTCATACAATCCCTGTATTATTTCGTCTACTCCCATATTTCCACTTCGACTGGATACCCTAGGACTCCCCTTATCTGAGTACCGGGCCCTGAAGCTGCACAGTATGGGGCAACGATTTAGGAGAGGTTTAAATAGCATTTGCTCAGCAGACCCTGTAGGCGGGTAACGGAAAGAATTGCAAATCCGGGGAACAAACTATAATGTGTGACGGTGAAACGACAGGATAACGGCATATTTGCAGCAATGGTTCATTAGGCAATGAACAATGCTTCACACAAATCCCTTTGGGTGGTCTCGTGAGGTTATCAAACGACGTCAATTGGGAACAAACAGTTAATACTTTTACTATCAATGCAATAGTCCTACTCTTCGCGTAGTTTCGCTGCACGTAACTCACTAGTGGTCGATGACGCTTTGTAAACAATCAACCAGTGCACTGGTAGCGCTTAAGTTATTGAATTCTGCGACGATAGGCATTTGATAGGTAGGAAACTGTTTTCGCTACTCACGTGGTACGAAGCTGAGGACAACACAACCTGGAGCGATGAGCTACCCTGCATCACTTTATTGAAACTAATTGCTTGTTTCCTGGTATCGGGAAGATAGGCGGTATGGAGACATTTGTCTCCATCCAAAACCTTTTCTCTCCCGTTTTTCTGCGCCTTCTCGTTGTATAGGTGCGTGCTGTTTGCCTGTTTGAGTCCGAGTGTACCAGTCAAACACCAATCGCGTTTGATTACACACAACCTAAACACATTTGCCTGTTCTTTCACCCTTTTAAACGGTTGCATGGACCACAGGTACAGCTTCGCAAATCTTCTCCAACTGCTGGTCTGGGGCTGAGTGTTGCTGGCGGAAAAGACTACGAGCACGACGAGACAATCGCACAAGGTCTGTACGTTACGCGGATTAATCCTAACGGGCTGGCACACAAGGACGGGCGCATCCAGCCAGGAGATCAGTTGATGCAGGTAAGTCCTACAGACAGAACGTTTACAAAGACCTTTTTTGTTTCCGTCTGGCTTCGCACGGCACCCCCTGAACTGCTGGCTTACCAACCCCAAACACATTTTGCTGTCGTTGATTCTCTCTTTGCTTTTGTCCATGACCAATTCAATTTCTTCACTAGCTCCGTCACTTATAAACCTTATCTTCTGACTAGCGTACACATTTAGACTGCGAAAAGCAGTGGAAAAATTTCCGATTGATACACGCTGTTTTCGTCAGCGCCTCATTCCAGTTAACTGTGCCTCTTGCAAAGTGGGTTGAGCGCACCGTACAGTCTCACCGTGTCAGCTAGCTAGAATCATAAAGCTGAAGGTATTGTCAGCATTCTTACCGTTTGCGCTGGGTGGCGATGACCTACAGCCTTTAAGACACGCAGCCTGTTATGTTTCCAGTCAAATCAAAATGTGCTTTATGCACCAGCAAAAGGGGCGAATATTTAACTGCCATGCATACACTCTAAACATGGATAATTAGTGAAATAGAATATTTCGGGAGGATAGATATAATATAGCAGTTCATAAAATGGCTGAAGTAATTTACCCATGTACGCGTGTATATAGTTTTGTACATCTGTCTATGGAAGTGATTACTACCATTATTGAGAATTCAGAATGTAAATTGGTTGCAGGAGTTGATATGGTCGGATACAACAATGTTAGCAAGTTCTGGCCTAGAAATGCCTCTGGATCGTGAGAGAGTTTCCACTCACCTGGCAGTCCCTCCGATGTCCTGAATCAAGAGGTCAGGGAAGATCACTAGAGACCAGTACGTCTAATGTGGTAACACGCGCGCAGTGATAAATCGTAGGATCACAAAACGGCGTATGTAGGCTGTTCTGAGACTGGTAACATAGAACGACAGTATCCTGACTTTCGTGAATGTTTCGTTTTGCTGTAGGGACTGAACAAGATCACTGTTCGGTGTCACTCCTAGGTATTTCACTCACACGGAGACTCCACATATTCACTATCAATGCAATTGCAATTTCCTTTAAACTGTGAAAAAGGACATCTTCAAGTGATGAACGATAGACAGCGACCTTTTGACCGAACTGTGGGTAGTCCAGGAGGGTTTGCAGCTTGGCCGATGCGTCTATGATTGATTGATGCACACCTAGCTTGTTACCATCTGCATACTTTAGCAAGATAGCTTCTTCAGGGGCAGGAACTGTGGTTACATAAATTATAAACAAAAATAGCAGCAGAACTGGTCCCTGGGGAACACCGAGTTTTGTATTTAGGGATCACGTTTCCCCTTCCCCCCCCCCAAAGCTAGTAACTGGGTGCACTTGGTATAATAATCCTCTAGTAGGGTTAGACTCCAGAGCCGAGATGATCACGCAACAGCCATTTATCGTTAACGCGGCCAAATACGTTACGATAGTCCGGAAAGCTGATGCGGGTAGATGTGTTTTTCTTATTTAGTGATGCAAGCTCTCGTATCTGTTGAGAAACTAAGCTGCGTTATGAAGACTGACGTGAGCCATCTAACTGTGTGTCTGTTAGCATATTTTTCATGCATCTCAAAATTTTTCGTTGCAATCGGTCGATGTTCCCAAGACCCTATCTTCAACACAGGCGTGATGCTTGCGTTGTACCAGTTGCGTCGATCTTGTGTTGCTTTAAGTACCGCGTGTAAAATTCGGCAAAGAGTTGTACGAAGTAATCAGCACAACCTTTGAAGACGACAAGCGACAGTTTCTCCAGACCGGGTGATTTGTTCGACTTCAGGTTGATTAATTCCGTGTTTAATTCCAGACATTTCAGATAAAGTGGACTATTCCACGGCACTTGTCACAAGCGATGAAATATTATGAACTGAATTGCCTTTCTGGTCACAAAATTTAAGTTTTAATCCTTCCACATCCAGAGTATAATGCAAGGCCCCGTGGGCGACTCCGCTTAGTCATTTTAACGTTTCCCATACTTTTCGGTAATCATTGTTACCCAATATGTTTTAAATGTCTATGTGGCTGACACGACACAATTCAATTTTTATGTCATCCGACGGACACTACACTGCGGTAGTGTCTTTGGTTTTAAACGCATTTTCTTTAAGCCTGCGAGGTCGTTTGAGACCTTGTGACGAAAATCCGTATACACGACTGAGACCTTTTTCAAACGGACAACAAATGTCGAATTAGAAGGGTAAACAACCGGTAAACTAATCACAACACTTCGATATGTCCGCTTCATACAATACACCAAAGTTTATGGACGCAATATTTTACAGCAGTGTCTCAATGCTCTGAGTAAAGCATTGCTTCTGGCTACACTTTTGGTCTTTGTAGCTCGTCCTGTTATAGTAAAAGGAGATGACATTATGACAATGCCTGATTACAGGCGGTAACCATTTTCATGTTGATAACACATATTTTGTCTGGGATTACCGCTATCCTGATTGGAAATTGCAACATGTTCTTTAGTTCGGGATTTGCAATGAATCCGGTGTCAGATCTGTTAAAATCTTCATCAAATATGCGCAGACATTTCTAGATAATCAAGAATAGCAGCTGTATAATTTTTATAAGTCTTCAACTTCAGGGAAGGGATAGTTAGAGGAAATATAGATGTTAGCTAGCTGTTCAGTTGTCTTGATTTGCATTTCACGATTAAACAGCCGGTACATTGCGGGCTGTAGCGAAAATTGCTCTCCGTCGAATTGCAGCATGAAGAGTCGAAGTAGCGAATAACGCCACCACGAAGGTTCCTGTTTTTACCCAGTCGGTCAACACGAAAATAGATAAATCCGTCAAGTTCCACGATTGCCTCTTCAATGTGGGCGGAAAGCCAGGTTTTTGTGACATAAGGATGCCTTATTGAGAATTTTCACATGTTTTTTGATCAAGTTTTCCAAGCAGCGATCGGATGTTAGCACTAAAGGTTCTCTTGACTTTGCGGACTATCACACACACGCGCTGTATCTGGTGCCACGGAATGCTGAACTAATTCAGCGTGTGGGAAAGTTCACCAATCTTTTTCGCCCTTTTTCCTCTCTAGTAAATCGCGTTGAGGTTTCTGGTTTTGCTCCGGACTCACGCGGTAATCTTGTCAAAATACCCGGCTTATCGATATTAGTTTGCACATCGGAGACAGTGGGTTCTTAAAAGAACAATTCCCTATTTATCGCAGTGTGTTTTTGAATGAAATGCGCATTTGCAAGAAGGATGGACGACAGTTTTGCTTGCGTCGGATGCTAATTCTGAGTCTTCCGATGACCATCTTCTTAGTCTGTAACACTGATCTACCAATCCATTCACTTAGAAGGAAATTGTGTTCGAAACAGCAATTAGATTAAGCTCAAACCTACAAGCGTATTACGCCGTTAGATGATTTATTTAGTATCGCAACATTTAAGGCATCGCACCAGAACCCGATTGATCCTGAAAAGAAAATGGAAATGTGGGATCTGACTTCGAACTTTGCCTCAGTCGATGCCTTCTGATTCCCTGGTTGGGGTTGCAAAGTAGATAAGCCCTGTTGCCTAGAGACATTTGTTGACAGGACCAAGAGCATACCTCAGTGGCGTTAATGTTTTCAGTTAATTGTGTCCCTCTTCAGCCAACTGTGATCTCATTCTTGATATTTCCTATACACGAGACACAAATCCTTGTGTGTTTGCTCGCTTCACTCCAGAGGGAAGTGTTCATCTCCCTAATTTACGGTCTCATTGATCGGATTAACGAAGATTCGCTTCGCTGCGAATCGTGGTTCACACCTAGATTACGCGCCATAATCCATTCACATAAGGAATGTTTCAAAATGGCTGCTAACATAATATTTTTTTACTGATATCTGAGTTGGCTGTCTTGCGACAGAACTGCCGATGTGTTTCTCATTTCTAGTTAGCTAGTGGAATGATTATACTAATGCTCATAACCAACTGGACATTGAAGTTCATGTTTTATAGGTGGTGCAGATTGAAAAGGAAGGGGTCCTCCGCGTTTACCACATATTCGCCGCTGAAGGTGCTTTACTTTGCGTCATTAAAGGGCGTAGTTAAGCAGCAGCGCACACTTATGTCCTGGGTTCAGGTGATTTGGGACACTAAAGCCGCTGCGCCAACATAAGCAACGCCACCTCACTTCCGCTGTCTATCCAGACACTTTTGGGAAGATTAAAGCTCGGCAATGTTACTGGATTGAAGGCTCATCAGCACACCCTTTATGGCCTACCTCAACGTTCATTCCACCGGTATCAGACCATAGCGACACCTGCGGTGCACCAATTCGGCTCTCTGTGTGGGAATGTAGCAGCGGAACCACTTTGTGGACCACTTCCACCGGTCGAACCACAGTTGGTCTTTCATCCTATGATACTGATATGGACCACACTGCCATAGTCTTGGATTCTAAAACATCTCCAATGGTCGAACTCTCTCTTTATTTGAATATCTCATCTACTATCAATGTGGCGCATACAACTGACGTTACCTGCGATCAAACACTCCCTGAGGTGGTGGTGCGTGGGTTATAACTTCTAATCTTTACATACATCGGTACATCCCAAAGATGGCTTTCTCGGCTGGCCACAATGCTAGCAGAGGGATTCACGTTGGTCGATTCTTGATCATGGCACCCCTGGTCTCACCTAAGTGAATAGATAAACAAATAGTTTATTCTCAAAGTGCACGAAACCAATCTATGTGTTTGTTTAAGTTGGACCAGAGGTGACATGACCAAGGATCGACTAAGATCAATTCCTCTGTTAGCATTGTAAGCTGCCGTGAAAGTTCCCTTTGGGATGCGCTGATGCATGTACAAAAAAATAGAATTAACACCTTGGTGGTTTACTGCTGTGATTTTCTGCCAAATTTCACCAGGTATTCCACTCATCCTTGAACACGGCGGAACACACGTCTCGTTATCATTTTCAGGTTATATGTCACCCCTACTTATTGCTAAAACATCGTGGCTGTCGAGTTCCCGCATACGGACATCCTGCCATTTGTAAACATTTGAACG